ACACCGCAACAGAAAGAAAAAAGACTCAAAATAGCTAAAGAGTTGCTTCGCTTGGCCGAAAGTGGTAAACTGCCGAATTTGGTTTTTGTCCAACAGTTTGTAAACAAACAAAATGATCGTGTTTACTTGCCAACGAAGTTAGCTGAGATTGTGCACCTTCAGTTGGCCACCTGAACTCAAACGCCGGCCATGGTGATGGTGTGGACCGCCATAACAGCCGATGGTCGCTCTCCGCTCGTATTAATCAACCGAGGTATCAGAATAAATGCCGAATATTATTGCAAAAATATTGGAGGGTGTATTAAAGCCTTGGACACCGAAATATTTTGGCCTCAGACATTCCAATAGGACTCAGCATCATCGTACTCAGCACGCACCGCTCATGAATGGTGACAAAATGAGGTTCCTCGCTTCATTTTCAGCGCACAATGGCCAACAAAATCTCCGGATGCCAATCCGTTGGTCTATTGTGTCTGGAGTATTTTGTAAAGCAAGGTTGGCACTAAAAAATACAAAAGTGTCGATCACCTCAAGCAAGTGCTTCACCGGAAATGGGCCAAAATACCACAAAGCAACATTTGGGCAGCGTGTGACGGTTTTATTGGCCATAATTCGTGCCAAAGGTGACCAATTCGAAAAAATCTAAACTTATGCTAAAATTTGATGCTATTTCCGACATTTTTTGCTTTTATTCAATAAAATTAAAAAAAAAATGTAAACATTATGGCGTTTGGCTTTGTTGCAATTTTTTTATCTCACCCCGTATTTTACATAAAGTATGAGAAAGGGATGTTCGAAAAGTTTATTTATTTGACCAACTTTTGAATTTCGGATTAAAAATACAACTATTCCCATTGTAGTTCATCCCAGTGATTCTACTGACATTTCCTCTTTACTTGTTTTCAGTTTCTTTTCTCTGTTACTTTTCATTGTTTATCTCAACAAACTAATATTGTAGCAAAATGATTTGTTGTTTTCTTTTTTTTACATAACTTATATATTTCACTAGAGAAATATAGTTTAATTTGTTGTTAATAAAAATAAATAAATTTTTGAAAATAAAAGTGAAGAGTAGATCATGACATTGATTGCTTACGGTTTTTGTTTTCGAGCTTCTTGACTTAATAGTATATTTTTTGTTATATTAAAATAGTAATAAGAAAACGTTCCATTTGTTTTTTTTTTGTTTCAACTAACATTAAGAATATTTAGGAAAAAAGAACTGTACAAAATGACCGTTAAATTTAAAAAGAAAGTAATAAGAGACATTGCAGAAACAATTAAATTATAAAAAACACAAACGTCTTCAACTACAATATTAGTGATGCGAGAAAAACGTTCTTTGACGAATATCAAAATACAATTAGTTAAGTTTTGTTTTTTCCTTTTTTTAGTTTTTCGGTGGTTAAGTAAAATGCAGTTGTTTTTTTTAAATGTAAGTGATTTTGAAAAAGAATTTTAAAAAATGATAGGAAACTGAAGAAAAATGATTTACTATCCAGCAAATTTGTTAAGTTTTTAAGAAACTACAAAAACAAAACTTTGCTGTGAAAAAGATCTGCCAATAGAACTTGAGTCGAACCTGGAGAGTTTCTATGCTAATTTGCAATAAGTTTCTATGCTAATTTGCAAGCATATGCTAATTTGCAATAAGTTCGAAATATATACTACTTTCCAGAGAACGGCCCTTGTAAGCCACTTAACCAACGGCGAAACGCGTCGCATAGTGGTGAGTGTGTGATAGTGTCTATCTGGCTTTCCTTTTCACTGCAAATTCCTGATCATTAAGCTCGTCTCGAAAGAGAAAACAAACACATAAATCGTTTTTAAGAAACTTTTGGACAAATCGTTAATCTAGTTTAAGATCAAAAATCATCTCAAAATACTACATCCAGGATGCTTAAAATTACTATCTACTAAATGTTTACAAAACTTCCTTTAGTTTGTCAAAAAATATTTTTAAAGCTCCTTTATAAAGGCTAGTCTTAAAAACCCCTTTCTCCATCTCGCTTCTAAAGATTTTCTACATATATCTGGCAACTCGTCTAAAAATGCTTCTTTCAGCATGACTGAAAAAGCCATTCCCATTAGTTTTCTAAACAACAATCTTAGACCTGTCTAAAAATACTGGTTTCATTTCGATTGAATAGACTTTCTCCAGATCCTCTATAAAGACTAACTTCAGCTAGTCTAAAAATACTACCACCAGCTCGTTCAATAGGACTCCCTACAGATTGTCACAGAAGACTCTCTCAAACTCTAAAACATACCTCCAGTTCATCTATAAAGCTCCCTTCAGTTTGCCGAAAAAAATGCTCTCCAGTATGCCAAAAAACACTGGCTTCACCTTTTTTTAAAAGACTTTAAAGACTTTCTTCAGCTCGTCTTTAAAGACTCCCTTTAGCTCGTCTTTAAATATTCCCTTTATCTCGTCTTTGAAGACTCCCTTCAGCTCGCCCGTAAAGACTCCCTTCAGCTCGTCTGTAAAGGCTCACTTCAGCTCGTCTGTAAAGTCTCACTTCAGCTCGTCTATAGAGACTCCGTCCAGTTCATCTATGGAGGCTCCCTCCTGTTCATCTATACTAAAATTGTCTTTAGACCATTCTTTAGTTCGTCAAAAATGATCCCCTACATTTGGTTTAGAAGGACTCTCTTTAGCCGGTCCAAAAAATTTCCTCTATAAAGACACCTTTTATGAAGACATCGTTTATGAAGACTCTCTTCAACTCGTCGGTAAAAACTTCTCTTTTAGCTTATCTCTTTGCAGGTTCTCTGAAAATATTTTCCGCAGCCCATCCAAAGAGATTTTCCTGTTTGAAATACTCTCTCCAGCTCATTTAAAGATACTTCTTTCTATAAAGACTCCTATCAGCTAGGCTATAAAGACACCCTCTACTTCACTACAAAAACTCCCTCCAGCTCGTTTATAAGCACCCCAGCTGGCATTTAAAAACTCTCTTAAGCTCGTCTATAAAGAATTCCCTAATCACGCCTATAAAGATTCGCCTGTACAGAGTCGCTTCTGATCGTGAGACTGCTCTTCTCTGCATAAATATATACTCTTTTTCGTTCGTCTTTACAGAAAAGGACTAACTTCAGCTCGCCTGTACATAGAGAAACTCACTTAGGGTCTTCAATATGAGAGTGACCCATTTTAGCTGTTCAAAACAGATATTAACTTTCGCTATTCTTTTAGAGTGAGGCTCTCCTCTCTCTCCTCTCTCAGTCAATATTTTCATGCCTTTCCAAAGTGAATGATGTATTTTAGCTCGTTTATGCAGAGAGGGATTTACCTTTGTTCGTCTTTAGAGAGAGAAAATCACTTCTGCCCGTCTATTCAATGGGAAATTCATGTTAACTTTTCTTTACAGAGATACTTACTTCCGCTCGTATAAACGGATAAAAAGAGTTTTACAGTGAGAAACTCACTTCAGCTCGTTTATACAATGGGAGACTCTCTTTCGCTTTTAAATTCAGAATGAGAGACATGCTTCTGGTCCTATATGCAGAGAGAGAGATATATATTTACTTTAGCCCATCTATTCATCCATCCATTATTTTATTTACATAAAGAGACTTACTTCACTCCGTCTATACAGAAAGAAAGAGAGAGAGACTCATTTATGCTCGTATATACAGACAAAAAGAGCTCTACTTTCCTTAGATCTACTCTCGGAAATTAGACAATTTCGAAAAAAACTTTCTATATTTACTAAACTTTCACAATATATGAAGATCTGCAAAAGCTCTTTCTATCTAGAAGGCCTTCAACCTCTGCAAGTTACCATCTATAAACCTCTTCCGTTAGACCTACTCTTGGAAAGTAGTAAATTTCGAAAAAAAAATCTTTATATATTTACTTAACCTTCAAAATATAGGAAGGTCTGCAAAAGCTATTTTTTATCTAGAAGGCCTTCAAAAATTCCTCTCTTCTAAATTCATCCCTTTATAAACCTCTTTCTAATGTGATACTGCCGTTGGTGGTTATTTACTTTTGCTGGATGGTGATTTTAGGTAACAAAATCTGTATTTTTTGATTTGAGTGTAAATATGTAAGTGCCAAATAAAACCTTAAAAAATAAAAGTCGGTGATTGGGTGAGAGAAAATAAATAAATGAAAACAAAAGTAGAGATAGAGAGTTTTGATTTGTACAATTGAATTTGTTGTTGTATTTACCTTCTAAAAAGGTTGAAATCAAAGTTTAGGGGGTTTTGTATTTTTTTGAATAATTTTTTTTTCAAGGAAATTGGAAAAGAAAATTAGATTTTAATAGAATTATTTGTTATTGTATTGTTTTTGTTGTTAATAATCGAAGATTTCACCAAAACAAGAGAGTAAAACAAAATCAGTTTGTGGAAATTAAAGTTTAGTGTTTAATTCCAATTGGGGAACTCAAAAACCAAAAAAGAGAGTGAGAGAGAGAGAATCAGAAATATAGTTCAAGGGGGGAGTTTTCACATTTTTTTTTATCATTTAAATATGGAGGGACTGGAGGATATTTTTGAGTACTGTTACTGTTGTTTAAATCTTTTTGTTTTGTTTTTGTTGTTGTAAATAATATTTTTTTTTCATAAAAATGTTATTTTCCATTAATGTTGACATTTTGAACTGGGTGTGTTGAGAGAGAGAGATAAGATTTGCATTTGGTCTGTATGCAAACATAACGCGTGACAGAGAGTGGGCGGAGTAGGGTGTAAACCCTACCCTTGGGTGTAGTATTGTCGTTTTTTTCAAATTGTGATCTGTTTCCTTACTAGACACTTGCTTATTTTTTGTTTATGTTTCTTATTGTCTTTTTTCATTTTCACACAAACACACACATGTACATAAAGTTTATTTTAATTTTTTAAATAATTAAAAATATATTTTATTTGTTTATATATCACTTAATAAGGAAATAGTTTTTTTTTTCAAAAAACCTCAATTGTTGTTTTTGTTTTATATAAAACTCATAAAAAGCCTTAAAACTGTATAGTTTAGATCAAAAAACGTTACATACCTGACCACCTTCACCTTCAACGCTAACCAAATCACGCCATTCTTCAATTGTTTGCGCCAAATCGATGGTACACAGTGGAACCTTTACTTCGCCAATTTGGTCATGTTTGGAGAATCGATCGAAATCGAATATGGCAAATACTAAAGTCTTGTTCATGGCATCGGCATAGGGTAAACTCTTTAAAAGAACACACACACACACACGTACAAAGATTAATGTTTTCCACTACAGAAGACTGGATTAGGAGTACCAAGCGTTGCATTCCAACTTACCTTAAATGTAAACGTTTCATTGAAGACAGGACTAAGAGTTTTACGATGCACCTTAGTTTCGAACTTCTTCTTTTTGTCGGGCAACAGATAGACCTTGACGTAGGGATCTGATGTACCGCCCATATCCAAGGCTGGCAATTCTTCGGCTTGTATAACAGTTACTGCCAAACTGTTGGCATTGAAGTCGTATTCGAGCTGTTTTCAAGGAAATTTAAAAATAATATGGAAAAAAGACACAGGCACACAAATTAAGGATCAATTGTTTAGATTGTCCATTTGAGGTTGTGCGGGATCCAAGGAGGTTAGCATTTTTTTCCAAAAAAGAATTGAAATAAAAGGGGAAGATTTTAGATAAGTAACATTGAAGTTATAGATTTTGTAGTGATTTATGTTTTGCGAACAACTAAGTGCATAGATGGTGAGTATGAATCAATTTTGTTTATATCGAAGGCCGAATATTTGAAATGTATTGTCAAACCTGTTTTTGAGGCCAAATTAAGGCAGATGAGTATGGAAAAAGACATAAATACGAAATACCCCTTCAAAAACTTTAACCGATACCTAGTTGCAAATTAGTACAACTTGAAATTTATTTGCTTACTGGCCGTACCTTATTGATCCTTCAATACTTATGTTTTAATATGTAGCACTTTTCTTTTTAGAATCTTCTTCAACGCATCACCATCTATCCATGCACACTAACAATGTTGAAATATTGAAAAAAATTGGATTTATTCGTTCGCCAAATACCAAATGTCAAAGCATGTTAGGACCTTTATTTGGTTGCAAATACTGCGACTTAAAGTATTTTACAACTTTTTGTTAGATTTCACAAAAGCCGATGCAGCGCCTCTCCCAAAATCACTAACTCCATTTGAAATTTTAAAATAATTATCTGAGTGATTACGTGGGAGTTCTATACTAAATCAGGATTGTTTTTCACAATCCATATTGAGTTTGAAGATTATCTAGCGGATTTCGGAATTTCAAATTTTAATATTCTCTGTATTTATAATATTTGCCTTAAGAAAGAGAATTTACTAATCTCGTCATATCATATATAAGAATTCCTGTTATTCGTCGGAGGCCACATAAAATATATATGTTAAATTTAAATTATTCATAAATAGTTTGGTATTTTGTATAGCTCCCATAATACAACCTCCAGATTTCTGGTATTTCGAAGGGTTTTCCCCAATTTAATTTGATATTTCACAATTTTAGTGGATATACAGGGTTGCCCATATTCGACGGACCCATTTTTTTGATGACTCTTTGGGCCCATTCCAATCGACTAGGCTTGTCCGCAGGCAACATTCTTTGCGTCAATTGAATTTTGTACGGGAACAAATGCAAATCAATGCGAATAATCCGTTGTAAAGTCGACCGAGCCATGCCCAACTGCTGAGAACGGCGTTTTTGGGATGTTCTTGGGGACCTCTCAACACTGGCTCGTACGGCAGCGATATTCTCGGCCGATCGCCTTGGTCGACTTTTATATGGCCTCTTCGGATTAGAAAGAGCCTTACCAGTCGAAAATTTTTCGTATAAACGCCTAATGGTGTTCTTAGAACTTCTCACATTTTTTAATGTTTTAAAAGTACGATGAGTTTTCACAATTGACTTCTTTTGTTGAATGTAAATTTCAGAGCGCTCGCTTGGCGTTTATTGGTTCATGGTAAAAATCTGCTTGGACTGACGCTTCAAACTCGGTATGTCATTAAGCGATAAGACATTTCTGTCAAAAGTTATGGCGTTGCCAGATGGGTCCGTCGAATATGGGCAACCCTGTAAACCCTTCTGGCAGAAAATTGTTAATTTCCTCTAATTAATTGCCTCTATTTGGCATTTAAATAGAGTGAGCACCTCTGGCAGAAATTTGTTAATATATGTCCTCTATTTGACATTTAAATAGAGTGAGCACCTCTATATTCGGTTACTTACAGGTTTCAGGCCAAATTTTGTGCATAAGTGTTACAAATTGTAGACCTCAGTAACACTTTCCTATTGAGTGGAAACCCAATTAATATAGGAAGCTAAATTTTGCACAGATCAGTCTTTTGTCTGCAAGCAGCTACGATATGGTATAGCCCCCATATAACGTTACCTCCCGATATTCGAATTTTGATGATTATAACCAAATGTTTCTATAGAATTTTCTGAAAATCAAACAAAAGGAGTCCCTTCGTAGTACTTTATACCCTGAAAGAGAACCTATCTAGGTCCATGATATCGTATAGCGCCCATACAACTGTACCCCCCGATATTCGCTATTTGGATGATTTTTGTGACATTTTTTCCCGAATTGTGTCAAATTTTGAATTTAAAGCTCGTAATGGGTACTACAGCTTATGACAAAAAATTGCCTATGCAGATCTCCGCTTCGTATAGCTCCCATATAACGACAACTACTCATATTCGGTATTTCGATGATTTTAGGAACATTGTTCACCGGAATTGTTTAAAATTTCTTATTTGAAGGTCGTAATGGTTATTACAACCTATGGCGGAAAATTGTATATGCAGGTTTTCCTTTGGGCGATATTTTTTGATGGAAGTTTTTGGACATTTTTCAAGTTTCTTCAAAATGTGGAGGATATTAAACGTTCGGCCGATCTTAACTACATCTCACTGGTTTTTTTATCGGGTCGGGTCAAATTGCATTTGTAATAATGGTAGAGAAAAAACAGGTTTGATTGTATGTATTTATGTTTGGTTTAGGTATGTTTGTATGTAGATGTCTGTTGTTATGAGTAACGAAATAGTGAGTTGGAGAAGAAAGTTTTCTCCAAATGTGGTATAGGTCCCAATATTTATTTATAACCAATTATATTATTTTTTATATTTCACATTTCAAATTCAGTTTAATTAATAATTCTATAAGTTCTTTTGAAGATCCTATCAAGTATTTGTAGTTTATTTTATAACAAAATATTTATTTTTCTATTTTTTTCAGATCCTGGGACTATAGCTGTTTGAATCGAGAAAAACAAGCCAACTAATTTTGTCGTAAGTATTATAAAATTACATACTTGTTGTATTAATATGTCATATACTGTATTTTTAATCAATATGAAGAATATAATATGACAATCATAGGTTTAACAAAAGCTCCAAATTCCTTTTAAGATTGGATTTCTTTCTATTTTTAAGAGCCGGCAAGTTTTACTCCAGAGCCCCCAAGTTTTACTCCCTACCTGAATTTGAGTGGGGTTACTCCTTTATTTTTCCTAATTTTTCACTTGGATAAGAGTATGAGAGGACAATATGCTTGAAATCGAGCAGATACTAAACTTGCCGACTGCTCCTTCAGTTTAGTCTGTACTATGGAATTGCTTTTGCTTTTTTTGTTGAAAAAGTGTCTGTCGCTTGCAATACAATCAATACAATATTATTTTTCTCTTCTTGACTCTTGTACAGGACTTCCCCAGTCAACAAGTGATTACTAATCCACACACTCGAATTACGCATAATTCAGATAAACAATAATGAATTTTTCCACTTTTATTGTTGAAAAACAACAACAATTATTGGATTAAATTGACTATTTTCTAATAAAAAAAATAATAAGGGCATCACAAAAATAAACGCCAACACAGTTCTCTTTCTTTCCAATCGATTTCACCCTTAGAGTAAACCCTTACTTTACATCAAACCATTTTACTTCCACTTCTAGTTTTCAAATAGGATATTTGCTAGCGCCCCCACATAAGACATAATGGGGGAGTATAAAAACTCGCAATCTTTGAGTTCTCCCACTAGCGAGTATTTTTCACTCGCACATAATCCAAAGTTATATTTGTGTTGGAAATTGGATATTTAATATGGAACTACGTTCTTTGTTGAAAAATATTATCAGAAAACACATTTATTTCGTATGGAAAATGTCTTCAAAATTGTTTCTTCAACTCAGATCAGCTGTATTGAACCGAGTTCTGGGATTTAAAGCGTTGTTTCTGTGTTATTTCTGCTGTTTGTTTCTCTGTAGTTGTTTTTATTCGGCTCATCGTAAAACACACTCACACACACAGCAATATATTCATTCTCTTGTATTTTCCTTTTGGTATTTGTCCACCATTTCAACTTACCTTGAAATTCAGTCGTCCCAACTTCTGTTCGCTCTGTTTGTCCTCCTCGTCGCCTTCTTCAGCATTTTCGGTGAGTTCCTCCATATCAGGCTGAACCTAGGGCATACCAGAACCCAATAACTATTTAGATTAAATAGCGCATTTGATACTTACTTTTTCTTTGTACGCCGATCCTAACAACTGTACCGATTTCATATCAACACCCTTCTTACCCTTACCGTCTTTGGTTCGTCGCTTTTTCAAGAAACGCCGCACACAAAAGAATATGATGCCGAATACGACAAGGAATACCAGGATGATGATGGCCACCACACCCCAGGTGGGTATGCCGGTTTTTTCAGCAATGACTTCTGTGACTTTTTCGCCAACATCTTCGACTTTTTTGAGTACCGATTTTGTTGTGGTTTCTTCTGTTGTGTTTGAAAGTTCAAAATGAAAATTTTGAAAATGGAGTTAAGTTGTTTTAGATGATATGATTTGTGGTGGATTACCTTCGGGTTCGGCTGTTGAGGTTGCGGGTGCTAAAGTCGTCACTTCTGGCAATTTATTAACTCTTTGCTCTTCGGCCTGTTGAGCTATGGATTCGGGTTCCTCTGCTTTGTGACTGGCCGATTCGAAGGGCTCTGAGGGTGGTATTTCAGAACCAGATCCATCGACTGTTTCTGCGTTTGGTGGCATTTTGGCTTACTGGAAAATAGAAATAAAGCCATTTTGATTAGTAAAATTTTTGTCTGAAATGTAAATGAAGTAAAAATGAAAAGTCTTATCCCTTGAGAAGTTTCGTGTATTTCGAAAATTGCCAACCAACCAACCATTAACTTCCAACTTGTTGTTACAACTCGAGGGTCAACTCAGCCGAATATTAAATATTTAATTTCAATTGGCATTTGTTTGCCTTTTGTTTCACTTCCATCCATTATTGCAGTATCACGGTGTCCTTATCTTCATGTCTTTGGTAGTTTAGATAATTTTTTGAACATCCTCAAAATGTTTTGTGTGTCACGTACGGCACATAAGTAAGACCAAATAAAGTGAGTTGTATTCAAATGAAACCCAAAACGATCAAATTCACAAGGAAATCGTGACTGGATTTTCTCTAAACATCTTTTAATTTTGCAAGTCATTTTATTTGTGTCTAACGATGTGTGTATGTACATTACCAAATTGATGTAGTCACCTATGTGTAGGAAGACCATTATAAGTATGTATATTTAATTATATTATTTATTTTAAATGTGAAGTGATTTGTTTCCAATTTAACTGGTGCGACGGGGACACCAGTTCATTGGAGTTCTGGAGAGCAGTTTTCTATATTTTTCTGCAATTAATTTTATACGATACGGTACACTGAGAGAAAAGCTATATCGGTCTGTATTTTACGGAATCCTGGAACACAAAACTCATGAAGATTCCCACAGAATTCGTACGTTGCTGGATCATAAGATTTTCCTGTCTAGTTCACTGACCTCTAACTATGGTGACTGTAATTTAGATCGTTTGGAAATACATATTTTGTTATTGGATAGACAGACATGACTTGTTTATTATACCCTCCCATACAAAGTACGGAGGGTATTAAGTTCATCATTTCGTTTGTAACTCATCGTAATAATAATTTTAGGCGTAAAAAAGTATATATATTCTTGATCAGCCTAAAATTCTAAGACCTGTCCGTCCGTCCGTCTGCCCATCTACTGTAATCATGATATAGTCAAGACGAATAAAGATAGGAAGCTAAAGTTTTGCACAGATCAGTCTTTTGTGTGCAGGCAGGTCAAGTCCGAAGACAAACTTCGGTATTTAGTTAATAGATTTTAGCCACATTTTTAAATGGAATTGTCTGAAATTTTACACAAGGAGTTCTCTGTGAGTACTTTACGCCCTGGAAGAGAATTGTCTATATAGGTCTACGTTTTAGTATAGCACCCATATAATGCTAACCCCAGAAATATTCGGTATTTCCGGGATTTTCGCAACATTATTCAACGGAATTGCGTCGAATTTCGTATTTGAAGTTCGTAATGGGTACTACAACCTATGACAAAAAAATGCGTATGCAGGCACACGTCTTCGTAAAGCCTCTATATAACTGTACTCGGAACTACAGTCTATGCCAGACAATTATCTATTCGGGTTCAGGCCTTCCCATAGGCCCATATGTTCGTTAGCACCTTCTTATATTCGGTATATTGACGATTTTAGCTCAATATTCACCAAAATTGTTTCGTGTTTGAAGTTCCTAATAGGTACTACAGCCAGTGACAGAAACTTGTGTAGGCAGGTCCAGGTCTTCGCGTAGCCCGATATAACGATACCTCCCTATATTCGGTAGTTTGATGATTTTAGCTACATTATTCACCGAATTTTGTTTTATTTTCATATTTGAATATTGTAATGGCTTATGACAAAAGTTGCCTATGCAGGTTCACGTTTTCGTACAGACCCCAATATAACGGTCATATTCGGTATTTTTAATATTTTAAAAGAATTTTTAACGGATTTTTTTTTTTAAATTTCTAAATTCGTTCCAAATGGTGGGGGTATTCAAAGTTTGGCCCGATATTCATGAAGGCGAAGGCTGATTGAAACGATACCTCCAGATTTTCGGTATTTTGAAAATTTTTATTTTAATTAAAACATTTCATTAATTAATTTTACTTTGATAAACATAGTGGTGCAGGGTATACAAATTTCGGTCCGGCTAAAATAAAAGCTTTTTTTTAATTTAATTTCCGAAATGAAATTCTTAGCCAAATCAGTTGGAAAATGGAGTCAAGACCTTCGAAATAGATAAAATCAGGAGGTTCCTTTATAAAGGTGCTACACCGAATCATTTTCCTATATTAATAGTTTTCTGCGAAGAGATTTTCCACCCCTTTAGAAACCAAGAATTTTAGATCGAGCTCGGAGATGGTCAATATAGGTCTACTCCTTGTGGTCCACTTCCTCACGACAAAGGTCAACATTTCAATAGAAAATAGAACGAGAAAAGATCATCAGATTTTGTTCAAATTTTGCAATTCCTAATTTTTGTATTAGTTCTAGGTTAGGTGGGAAAATATACAATATTACTCCATCAAGTACCTCCCCCACAAAGTGTAAACATTTTATAAAATGTAGAAGCAGAGTCTGTTCTCTTAAAATTTCGAATATCTCAATGTTTCTACCAACACGAGATCTGACGTGAATATGGAACATATCGGTTCATTTCTTCTGGTACCTCACCCACAACGGGCCAAAATTTTGAATAATCATGAAGTTCATAAAACGCGAAATAAGCATCCGAATCCTTTCAAACTTGGTAGATCCAAATATTTATATCAGCCAAAGATCTGCCGTGAATATGGAATATATCGGCCCACTCCTTCTGGTATCTCCACAAAAGGTGATCCGATTCTCCTCAAATTTCGCACATCTTAATATTTCTACCTACACAAGATCTGGTGCGAAGATTGATCATATAGATTTATTCCTTCTGGTGTCTCCCACACAACGGATTAATATTTTGAATAACCATGAAGTTCATGAAACGAGAAATAACCATCCGATTCCTTTCAAACTCGGCACCTCCAAATACTTATATAAGCACAAGATCTGCCGTGAAGATGGAATACATCGGTTCACTCCTTCTGGTACCTCCTCCACAAGAGGTCGACATTTAGAATAATAATGACACATATAAAAGTGAAATTCATTAAATTTTTTTTAAATTTCACACATTTCAATATTTCTCTTTCTCTGCTGTGAAGGAGGGATATATCGGCCTCCACCACGTGGTACCTCCACCAAAGATATGCCAACATTTTGAAAACAAAACGCTCATAAAATTCGAAAAAAGACATCAGCGTCACATATGCCAATATTTCCACTAACACAAAGACCTGATATGAAGATGCTAGATATCGGCTCACTACTTCTGGTACCTCCTCCACAGAGGGTCACAATTTTCAATACTTATGTCTCTCACAACTTGCGAAACAAGTCAACTCATACAGATATCTATATGGTGTGGATATTGAATATATCGGAACCTCCCACAAGTCTAGCAAGTCAACGCACATTAGCTGAGGGTATACAACTGTCGGAAAACCCGACTGATACTTTTTTCCTTGTTTTGTATAAATTTTAAAATCATTTTGCATTAAACTTTAAAGCCACTACTTTCCCTTTAGCGTTTCAAATATTCTGCGAAAAAGTAACATCTTTGCATTCCATTAAAAATTACAAGAAGAGAAAAGCAGGGACTACTTGTGGAAAATTGTCACATTTCCGTATCCAATTACTTTCAATATTGAGATGCTCTCACTTTTGTGCCATTAACATAAGGAAAGTGCTTTGTTGGCGTTTATCTGAATCATGCTGGGTGCTGGTGGCTTTATCTTATCGTTTACTGTCGTTTTGTGGGTTTCTCCAGCTCTAATGTCGTCGCAGTTCATCAGCATGTAAAATGAAACGCTTACTCGGTGTTTTTTGTTGTTGTTTTACTCTACCTCCTGGTGTGTCTGACGCCTAGTTGGCATTTCATTTTATTGAAGTTTTTCTCGTTTTTCTGTTTTTTGTTATTGTCGCAGAATGCATTTATCCATATGACCAGCAAGCCAACCTTCTATCCATCCAACAAACAATCACCATCTAGCCTTTGAGCGATACTTTAATCGAAGCACACCACATGCCGGGCACAAAACAAAAAGAGGAATAAAAAAGGACTCTTGTCAATATGACAAACAGAATTCAAACACAGCGAGATATGAGATGACATTCTAAAAATACATTTATGCGTTGTTTTTTAAGTTTGAAATTGATTTAGCAATCAACGTTTCTAGGAAAAACGGAAATTCAATGATAATGATTGCAATTTCAGGGGAAAAGAACGGGCGACAGAGATTGGGAGGTTAGAATCTAATAGATTTTAAAAGTGTGTTATTTATTCATTTCCAGATTAATTCATAAAATATGAAATAAAATACGAAATGAAATTGCAAAGTGTAAATTATGTTTATGGAATATCCGGAGAGGGAGAGAGAGTGAGTGATGTTTCGCAACACGTTCTTTTTTAATTGATTTATTCACATCCGCATTTGTATGGGTATCACGTAGCGTATGAGTGCTCTACTAATTCTGTATCACTTATACGCCGCAATGAAGTAATCAAATATTCTCATGCCACTACTAAACCGTTTGCCATCTAACCATCTTCAGAGAGCGTGTGTGTGTGTGTGTACAGACCCTAAAACACAGATACACAGCGAAGGCACACACAAACACTCGCACACACACAAGCATTAGCAAAACAAATGAAGGTTATCCAATGTAATTTTCTTTTGTATAAATTATGGCATGAATTTGCATAAATATAAAGATTAAATATTTAAAAACACATTTTATTCAGAGTGGGGCTTTGGATTCAAGGTTAAATATAATTTTTAATGAGATAGGCCTGTTTATACTCTGCGCCGCCAAGTGATTAAAAAAGTTATTCAAATCTGTAATTTGTTCCAGGAATTTTGTAACACATCTAATTTGAATTATGGATTTGTAAATTTGGGAGACAAGACATTTGAAAAGTTCATAAAAACCCTTAAATGTTCTTTAAAATATACAGTATATATAATGGACTAGTATATACAAAGGATCCGTATATAATTTATCATTATTCTATCCATAGGAGATCAATAGAAGATCTTATT